CTAATATCAAATCGATCTACAAGTTTCACAATGATTTTCTATTACCCCAATTTGAAGAGAGGATGCAACATTGGGAGTCGGATCCTAGAATCGGAGATATAATGAAAAACTTTGCGCCCTTTCTGAAAATGTATACAGAATACGTGAAAAACTTCGATTACGCGATGAACTTGATACAAACCCTGCAAAGTAAAGTCGTCAGGTTTGCTGCAATCATCGGCGAGATTCAAAAATTGGACGTGTGTGCCAAGTTATCGTTGCCTCATCACATGTTGAGTCCTATACAAAGATTACCAAGATACGAGCTCCTTCTGAAAGATTACCTGAGAAACCTCACAGAAGAAAGTGCAGATTACGAGGATACTAAAAGTAAGGATCTTTCGAGTTCCATTCGATGAGTTACTTCCGCATAAAGTAATGCGCATCTAGCAAGGACCGGCTTCTATTTAAACTGCTATTGAACGGAGCACGTTTAAATAGTAGATCGCCCGTAGATGGCGACGATTGTTGTAATCGTAGAATCAAACGAACAGACACGGCTTTCTTTCTCGTAGAAGCGTTGGAATTAGTATCTACCGCTGCTAATCACACGAATGATGCAATGAAGAAGATTGACAAGTTCAAAAAGCTCCTTGAAATACAAGAGAGCATATACGATACGACGGATCTAGTCAGTGCTACGCGGGAGCTAATAAAAGAGGGCCGTATCGTTAAAATTTCAGCAAGGAGCGGTGATCATCAGGAAAGGCATTTATTTCTGGTACGTACAAAGCTACGTACTACAGCCGCTGTTTTTATATTCGTTCGAATACTTGCTTACACGGGCGTGTGAAGTTTTCACGCGCGTAAACATATCTATTGTAATAATCATTCGACTCCCAATCGATATATCACACGTTAGACTTTGGTGATCGAAATGTTCTTCGTTTTCTTTTTTGCTTTTCAGTTTAGCGATTTATTATTACTTTGTTCGATAAGATTAATACCTGGGCCATTGTATCGATTGAGAGCTAAATTCCTGATTGAAAATTTACAAGTGTTCGAAGGCGACAATTTAGAAACGGCAAATACTTTTTATATAAGGGACGAAGATAAAAGTGTCGAACTGTACACGCATGCGGCTGAGGAGAAGGCAGCGTGGCTTGGCGCGTTGGTCGACACTATGCAAGAAATGACGAGAAGAAAAGCGAGTTTAAAAACTGGAAATGCTAAAGCTCTCGTCGTAAAGACCGACGATGTGTCCAGATGTATGATATGCGAGGTCATTTTTTCTGTAATGAAAAGAAAGCACAACTGTAGAGCTTGTGGAATAGTGAGTACTTTATCATCGTCGTCGTCATCATCGTCATCATCATCATCATCGTCATCATCATCGAACAATCGAAACTCGAATAACCACGTGATGAAAAGATATGCGTTGTCGGAGAGAAATTTATATTTGGACAGATAGATACATAGATAGATAGATAGATAGATAGATTCACCGACCGACCGACCGACCGACCGACCGACCGTTTCTTTCTACATCGTTTCCTACCACATGTATTTTACTCGTTTTACAGGTTGTTTGCGGCAAATGTTCGAATCAGAAGTTATTGTTCGAGGATAATAAGAATATGAGAGTTTGTCGTTTGTGTCATGCTGCTTTGACGCAACCGCTTGTCAAGTCGCCCTCTTCGACATCTCCGTCCGGACCGGTACCAAGTTTATTGCAAGTTTCAGCAAGCGCATCTTCGGTTATATCCGGATATCTTATGTTGAAAACTCAACCGAGCAAGCCTTGGACGCGACGATGGTTCGCGTTACACGTTGATTTTGTTTTGTACACTTTTAAGTCTGAAAGTGAGAATATGGCTCTGACAGCGACACCGATGCCTGGTTTCGTTGTCACGGATGGTAGCAATTTGTCCGACGAGGATCCGTTAAGTTCCAAGGATAGATCGAAGGCTCTTAAAATGCATCATTCTAGGAAAAGTTACTATTTACAAGCATCGTCGGATGAAGATAAGCAGAAGTAAGTTTTCTCGTGCATGTGTGCATCGTGAAAATTTTGACGTTCACAAGAGCCGTTAAACTTTTAGATGGTTTTATGCTTTGCAATTAGCCACTAAAGCAGAATTACCTTCGTTCGAGACGACGGGAAACGACGAAGACGCACAAAAAGACCAATTAATAATAGTTGATGCGCGATAAACAGGATATTCGTAAGATCTTGTCCATGACGTAGGTCAATCTTTTACTGCCGTTATCGTGTAAGATCGCAGCGCGGTAAGATAATCGTTGGTAGGTAATTATTATATGAAAATGACGTTAACTTATGTTATAATATAGTATACAGATACACGCATAAACAAATTGTTGTTGGTATATCGTGGTTCGTTTAATAATGACACCACATTGCTAAAACGCTTGTTGTATTTTGTACCATTTTGTTATAGTATATTTAAAAATATATAAGTATATATTTACATAAATGCGTAAAACGTCGTATCTTATGTATGGTATACGTAACCATTACCCCCCCAACGATTTTCACATCATCAACGACACAACATTGTCAAGTTTCGTAACAGAGAAATGATGTTTTTCCTCTTTTTTTTCCTTCTTCTCGTTCCTGCTTCTCCCGCTTCTTCTTCTTCTTCTTCTTCTTCTTCTTCTTCTTCTTCTTCTTCTTCTTCTTCTTCTTCTTCTGTTTGTTTTTTCAACAACGCGATTCGTCGTTTGGTTTCGGAATTCTAATCTGCGTTTCGTTTGCCTCGATCACAGCGCATAAGTACAAATAAGTAGCAAATAAATACAAATGAAACAATGTGATCGAATCGATCAATGTTATTGTTCT